GGGACTCCAGGATCATGACCTGAGCCGAAGGCAGTCGCTTAACCAACTGAGCCACCCAGGCGCCCCAAGTGGTAGTTTCTTAAAGATTATTTCATAAAAGTTAATAGCAATGTGGAATTGGAAACTATACCAATGAACTTTTTATACCGTTACATTAAATCTATTAATGTATTTTAGACTCTGAATAAATCTTTTACCAATATTTGATTCCATAACATCAGGCATTGTCATACGGAAAATACTGAGTTATGTAAATCTTCTAGATACTGACCCACTTATTACACTATATCAAAAAAAGTACATTTGTTAATATCACTACTCATCCCATCAGAAAAGTCTGTAAATACTGTGAAGCTGTCTAGTTCATGCAGCAGATAATGTTTCCAAAACTCTACAATTAACCAAAAGCCTGATTTTATTATTGGCTATAAATACTATCAGTTGTTTTCTTGAAATGACAGGCGCTCTTCACTCATATTTCAGAAGATGAATGCCCAGTAGCCAAAACTGAATTTTACAAATAGCGTTCCATGAAAATAAGCAGGTAGTTCAGCTTGCAACTCAAACAATCATACAGATGTTTTTCCTGAGACAATCATCATATTTCCGTATGCTTTACGTGTATTTCCCATTTTGTCACACAGAACACTAAAAAGGTGTACAAAGGTCTGGATTTAATAAAATTAATAATTTTTGCTGCTCCATCAAGGACACTCTAGAGCAAAACTTTTTTTTTTTTTTAAATGTTAGGATATGACAGAGTATGATGTGGTGTCCTCGTGTGTTTAGTTCTAAGGCCAGGCAGTTTTAGCCACCATGATTTTTATATCTTCTGTGCAAATAACACAGTAAAAAGTGAAAATAACATCTCAATTTCATTATGAAAATGGCTTTGACTTTGAAGACCTCCAAGGGTTTGAAGACCAGAGAACCACTGCCCTACAGCAACTGTTCCCAAACAAGATACTCCAAGACAGAGGTTTTTCCAACACATGGTAAAAGGAAAAAAAAGACACTGTATTAGATCTTTTTTCCAAAACTAAACCTATTAAATATAAAAAAGCTGAATAAAAATTCAATTTTTTTTTAGTTTTTTAAAGATTTTATTTATTTATTTGAGAGAGAGAATGAGAGAGAGAGAGAGCACAAGAGGGGGGAGGGGCAGAGGGAGAAGCAGACTCCCTCCTAAGCAGGGAGCCCGATGTGGGACTCGATCCCAGGACTCCAGGATCATGACCCGAGCCGAAGGCAGTCACTTAACCAACTGAGCCACCCAGGCACCCTAAAAATTAATTTTTTAAGAAATTAAAAATAAAATAATAAAAGACAGCTTTTTTAAAAAAAATTGGGGCACCTGGCTGGCTCAGGTGGTAGAGCATGCAACTCTTAATCTAAGAGTTGTACGTTCAAGCCCCCACCTTGGGTGTAGAGATTACTTAAAAATAAAATCTTGGGGCACCTCGGTGGCTCAGTCGGTTAAGTGTCTGCCTTCGGCTCAGGTCATGATCCCAGAGTCCTGGGAATCTTTGCTCAGCAGGGAGCCTGCTTCTCCCTCTCTGCCTGCAGCTCCCCCTGCTTGGGCTCTCTCTGTCAAATGGATAAATAAAATCTTTAAAATAAATAAATCTTAAAAAAAAAAAGGGACTGCTCTTTCTTTCGAGTTATAATCTGCTTTTTTTGTATTAAAATATCCTTTCTTTTATAAAAGAGGAAAGTAGATGGTATTGTGAGGATTATACTAGTTTTTGGCTTACTCTTATTTGGCAAAATGAAGGCTGGCCACACTGTGCTTATTCCCAACTTTTTTTTTTAAATAACATTTTTTTATTATATATTTTTTAGATTTATTTATTTTAGAGCGAGAGTGAAAGCACAAGCAGGGGAGGGGCAGAGGGACAGGAAGAGAATCTTAAGCAGACTCCCCAGTGAGCATGGAGCTTGACACAGGGCTTGATTCCAGGATCCTGAGATCATGACCCTGAGCAGAAACCGAGTCGGATGCTTAACCGACTGAGCCACCCAGATGCCCCAATTCCCAACTTTTTAAAAAAACTCAATTGCCCTGGGGTGCAATTGAGGGTCCTGAGTTTGAGCCCTAAGCTGGGGGTGGAGATTACTTAAAAATAAATAAAATAAATAAATACATACATACATACATACCTCAAGTGCTCCAGTGTGCCCTTGATCAAACAACTAATGTGTTTTCTAGATGCTCTGAAGCCCTCCTACAAGTTCCATAACTAGTTCTCCAGGAAATAACTAAGAATATGCCACGGGGATAATTCATTTCAGTCCATCAACAAGCCAAACCTTTAAAAGCAACAGCATCCACGTAGTCAAGCAGATCGGCATATTTATATAAAACACATGCCACTAATAAGACCAGTTGTTAAGCGCCTTAAAAATCCCACTCCAGGGGCGCCTGGGTGGCTCAGTCCTTAAGCGTCTGCCTTCAGCTCGGGTCGTGATCCCAGGGTCCTGGGATCGAGCCCCACATCGGGCTCCCTGCTCCGCGGGAAGCCTGCTTCTCCCTCTCCCACTCCCTCTGCTTGTGTTCCCTCTCTCGCTGTGTCTCTCTCTGTCAAATAAATAAAATCTTTAAAAAAAAAAAAAAAATCCCACTCCAAGAATGTCTTCAATTGCACAAACTTCACAATGGAAATATGTCAAATGGATAGATGTGACGATGTGTCTCATTTCCTCATAAGCAAAAAGAGAGCTTTAACCAGATGATCTTTAAATTCCCTTCCAGCTGACACTGGAATCTGTGTGATTCAAGGTTCCAGGTAGCTAACTGATAAATGTGGTCCTAGAGAAATAGAAAAAGAACTAGAATTTATATCTTCAGAAAAAAAATCTTAAAAGTACCAAAAACAAAACAAAACAAAAAACCCAAGCCAACATAAACAATACACTAAATAGTAATCACATCAGAAGGCTGTTCCAGAATCAAAGTTTACTTCAGTTAACTAGTTCCACAGTCTTACTACACATGGATAATCTGCACTGCAGTTTCAGGCTAACGTGGCAGAGGGAGGGGTTTGGGTGCGTGTTTTTCCAAATTAGATGTATTCTCCCTCCTCAAGTAAAGGAAATGGGGAAAAAAATTGAGTGTTACAGAAAGGACAAAGAACCACACCTAATTTTCTTTGGGTAGGGTGGGTGGAGGGAGACAGAATAATACCAACAAATACCAATAATAAATAAGAAAAAATTAAGCCTATAGTGAAATTTCAAAACGAAACACTACTGAATCAGGCTCAAACTGGAGAGAAGTAGACATTACAAAGTGGCAGCATTTGCTTAATTTTTGGCAACTCTGCCCCAATGAATTATTTCTGAGGCAGGGTTCCACCCTCCGTAGCTAAGGCAAGTTATTGCATCAGGCACCGGTGCCGAAGAAGCCCATTTGGTGTTTACTACTAGGTCACAGACACCCGGGTCCTATTCCAAGCTTTTGGCGTTGCCTGACTGGATGTGAGAATCCACTTGAGCTAATCATTTTCCTTATCCTCTCTAAATTCTAATATTCATGCCGTGCCCTAGGTAAAGGAGGCCTGTATTAAATCACCAAGCCCTCCAGCCCATGAAACTTCCCTCCCTACCCCAAAATCAAATTTCAAAATGTTCCATACAGAGGATGGCTGACTTCACCCAGTAACTCAGGAACATTTCCAGTTTCCCAGGTTTACGATCTGAAAGCTCACTCACTCCAAATAGTCTTTTGGGAACCCAAAGAAGATGACAGGAGTGAGCGAAGGACGATGAGCGAAGGACAATGAACTCACATCATGATTAGAAAAAAGTTCAAACACCCTCTCACATCCACGTTTCAACTTTTTATTTTCTCAGCCGATCATCTGGCTAACTAAGCACTGAATGAAGGAAGGTGTCAAGGAGGAAACACTATGCAAAGCATTCTGAAGATTTTAAAATAGTCCAGCCGTAAGAAGACAGAACCGACAGCTTCGCCCCTGACCGTAAGAAAACAGAACCGACAGCTTCGCCCCTGACCGGGGAAGAATTAGGAACCTCGCCAGCCGGGTGACACAAAGAACACCGCAGAGACTGGAAAAATGAAGTTGAGGATACTGAGCTAGGCCAGGAGGAGTAACCAAGGGTCACAGATCCCAGCCCCAACGGAGAGAGGAGAGGCGCAGACATTAACAACGACTGGGAAAGGAGAGCAGATCGCGAAGGGAGGGACGCAGGATGTCGGAGGGGATCCGAGGGAGTCACCCAAGGATAAGCTAGGACGCGGGTCCACGGCAAGGAAGGTGGCCGACGCACGCGGGGACTGGAGTCCAAAGTGGGGGAGGCGAGGAAGATACCAGGAAACCAAGGGCTTCCAGCGGATGAAGGAGAGGGGTAACCGGCGCGGTGGACGGGTGCCCGAGGAGAAGAGAGGATGACGGAGAGCAGACCAAGGGGAGGAGAGCCCGGGGCCCAGGGGAGGCGCAGAATGCCAGTACCTGCTGGCGCACGGCAAGCCTGAGAGGGGCTAGCACCTCCTCAGCCCCGGCGCCGTCCATGCTGCTCCGCGAGGCGGCGGCGGGGAATGAGCTCCGGGCGCGGGCGCTGAGGGGCCGACAGGGTGGGAGCGGAGGCCGGGCCGGGAGCCGGGAGGGCAGCGACAGCAGCAGCGCGGCGCGGGCGGCTCTAAGCAGCGCCGAGCGCA